TTAATAAATATAATAAAATTGCATAATATTTCTATTTATATATAGTATTTTTAATAATAAATCATATTAATATATGCAATATTCTTAAATATGATGAATTTTATTGTTTTATAAATTATGAGCACAATGTTAAAAAAAAAAAAAAAAAAAAAAAAAAAAAAAAAAAAAAAAAAACCAAAAATGTACTCTTGATATTTCGAGAATTATACGTGGAAAAATATCTACGCGAGCCAATATGGCGCCAAGACAAACAGTATATAATAGTGCATATATAATAAAAAAAAAAAAAAAAGTAGTTTTAAAATAAACTTCGTTGAATTTCTAATATCTCACCTACGATATTATTTGTCCTACGGCCATTAGATTACTTACTTTTGCTTCTTAGACTTATAAATGCTTTTTGCAATTATATTTAATATTAAAGCATCGGCATGTCTATGGGTACAATACATAATTATTTTTAAAGCGTTGAGATACGTTTGTGGGATGCATATGCATTCGCAATTACTGTTTACCGATCAATGAAAAATACATTTGCATTTAAGAAATGATAACGTCTTACCATATAATCATTATTAATTACACCAGCATGATTATGTGACGATTCAGTTTAAATCGATGATAGGTAGAATTCAAGACAATTGTATAACAGGCTTATATTTTAAAATCATCATTGATTATTAGTTAATTAAGAATAAACTATTAATATAAAATAATTATAGAATAAATAATGTAACATTGACTTTTTTAATCATATAAAGTTGAGTAGCTCGCAACAGTTATTATTTATTCATCTTATGTGTTTAAGGATAATTGGTTCATAAATAATAGTAGATTACTTAATTGAAAGAAGTCCAACTATAAGATTATATTGAAGTGATTTTTTGAGAACAACAATTAATAATTACTAATACTGCATATTACAAATAAATTCCTCCTTAATCATTTAAATATTTTATCTGATACAACAATAATATAATAATTAATATACCGATATTCAAATATTAACTATTATATTTTTAAATAAATTGATATTTACTACAGCGCTATCATTATAAATATTGATTGATGAATAGAAATCATTCAATACAAATTATAACTCTTGTTGCAATAGACTTCGAGCATAGATAAACATAATAAGTGCATAATAAATCCTTATTAATTATTTATTCTACGCTATATCTACGTAATTATTTTATTTAATTTTTATTTTCAAATTTTGGTATAAAATATTGATTGTTGCGTAAATTTACGTAAATTTATAAAAAAAAAAATTAAAATGAAAATTTTACAATCACATAATTAAATGAATGTTTAATTAATTATACGCAATATTTTATGATTATGTCTAAACAAGAATATATAACTATAATAACAATAATAGTTTACTAATTTTATCATGAGGATAGTGGTATGGTCATATCTTTTGTTTGGAATGCAAATCATGAAGAATTTTATATGCCATGAGAATATTCGTCGTAAGAAAGAATATTCAAGAAGTAACGAAAGATCTCTATGACTGTATGAGAGGTCTAACTGAAAAATAAATAATTAAATTTAATTAATTATGGCTACGAAGAGCTATAATTATACTTATGCAATAATTTAAATAATATAACAATGAAAACAAAACAAAGAGAGAGAAAGATTGGTATAGCATATGTGTTCTTACGAAAGTGAAGTGTGCGATTAAAAAATTACACTTTAGAAATACAATAATTCTAAATTATATGAATCGCAGCTTTGTCAATATGTGCCGATAGATCAAGTTGGAAAAGGTGCTATCAATGCCGTTGATAGTTGAATATTTTTTAATCTGTCAAATACAGTTGAATCTCTTATTAAACGTGGCTTAAATATCTGGTATTTCATTTATTAAATAAAATTGAATTACGGTGTTTACATTGGATCTTAACAGTGTACTTAGGATTTATATGACTTGCAAATGATTTATTCGTCGTTTACAATGATTTAACAGATTACTATTTAATGCATTACCTCGCATTTTAACAATACAGACTTTTCATGATTTCTTACATATACATTATTTCATACAATTTTATGTACGTTGACGTACACAATCGCGCGCTTGCACACAATTAATTAACTTTACAAAGACATTATTTACAGACATATACAAGATCATTTTATTAAGTAATTATTAATAACATGCTTCGTTATATAAGTTATATAAAAACATGCGCGAATTAAAAAAAAAAAAAAAAAAAAAAAAAAAAAAAAACATAATATAAATATAAAAAAAAAAAAATACTTTCGATTACAGTATTGTAATTTAGTGGTCAATATCGATTTTACATTGATTATCGGGGCATCGTTGATCAATTAAAAATTCATTTGCTAAGTAAAATAATGTTAAACGTGAATGAATAACTAGTGGCAAAAATTAACATATTTTTGTACATAAGGAAGAGGAGACGATCCATAAAGCAAATCGTAAAATATTATTTAGAAGAATGGGGTTATTAAAACTTTAACGACGCGAATAGTTTTATTATAGCCACTGATGATTATTAATAACATATAGCAGGCACCATTTTACTTCTCCCCCAATCTATCCATCGAAAATTTCATCTCCCACTTAAAAGTTTATGGGTTTTTTTTTTTTTTTTCATTTAGATAAAAACTAGCCTTGTAATCCATTTGATGGCCGTAGCGGCGCTGTAATATAGAGATGCAATATATCGCGGCCTGGGTAAGGAAGAGGAGCAGTTATGACAAAATTGAGTCGTTTTAATGTACTCCGTGGCCTTCTCTGCATAGTAAAATATCGATATCAAATTAATAATTAAATATTAAGGTAAAAGAACAACAAGAGAAATAAAAACAAACGACAATAATAGAGCAAAGTGGCTATATACATTTTATAATAATTGATATGTATTATGAAAAATTATATAAAATAAGTAGGAAAGAAAATCTAAATAATTTTATAGTCTTTTACTAATTAATTAAGAGATTTTAATTATTCATCTCTGAGATCTAAATTTAATAGTGTATGTAAGTGCCGCTCGCGCGTTCTCTCGTACACGCACACACACGCACGCACGCACGCACGCACGCACGCACGCACGCACACACGCCCACCCATATGTCGTAACAACTATACGTGCATCTATGCATTAATTATATTCAGCATGGTGTTTGCATGCATAATATGCGTATTATATTTGTTTTACGCACGCATCTATATATATATATATATATATATATATATATATATATATATATATATACATACATATATATATATATGCACGGTCAATGCATGCGTGCGTGCGCGCGCGTATGTGCATGCATGAGGTTCTATGGTCATGTATACGATGAATCTGCTTTTAATTAGCTGTCGACAGGCTATAAATTCAAAAATATAAATTCTTCAAAACTTTGGCTGTTTTAAATGAGCTTTATTAAATAATAATTCTGCCCATATGTTTGTTTGTATATTTGTTTTTGGAATTTATTGGAATATTTGGAATAATAATAATAAATAAATAAAAAATTTTATTTGAAAATCATCGATAATGACGCATTGTACTTTATGAATTATATTTATATAATACTTGAATTACCGATTAAACAAATCAATTATTTTGTTCCCACATTTAAGTGACAAAATTGCCACTTCCGTTGCTTTTTTTCTTTGATACTTGTAATTCGTACTTTTAGTTGGTTTAACCATCTATATAGAAACGGTCGGTACTTTTAAACGAACGAGCATTTAAATTTCAAAGAAGCATTAGAAATTACACCATATTAAATGTTATAGGCGCGCATCGCAAGGCTCAAGTACTTTTTTTATATGTTGCAGCGCCGCATGTGGCCGGTAATGAAAAGGCAAGAGGATGACTTTAAAATTGGTCGATTCTACGTTACTACGAAAAATTACTGCTATTTCCAATGATAATTAAACAATTATGATTATGGCCTTGTAAATTGCGGATACGATTTCATATTGCTTATACAGTATTTCATCTTGAAAGAACTAGAAGACTTAAATCTCTGTTTTTATTTTTCTTGGTTGAAGAAGTATTTTACAGATGAGGTGTGCCAAGTGCTTCTCGGGTATGAATTATAACAACGAGAAGACGAACACGAATGCCTAAGAGAGGCAATGAGTAAGCAGCGAGCGACTAAATGAGAAGGAGAGAGAGAGAGAGAGAGAGAGAGAGAGAGAGAGAGAGAGAGAAACGGTCGAGGACCGTCGTCGTCGTCGTCGTCGTCGTCGTCGTCGTCGTCGTCGTCGTCGTCGTCGTCGTCGTCGTCGTCGTCGTCGTCGTCGTCGTCGTCGTCGTCGTCGTCGTCGTCGTCGTCGTCGTCGTCGTCGTCGTCGTCGTCGTCGTCGTCGTCGTCGTCGAGTCTCGTAGTCGTAGTCTCGTAGTCGTAGTCTCGTAGTCGTAGTCATACGCACGCATTACCGCTACAAATAAAAAAACTGCCACTACTTCTTTCTTCCCGTATCATCACATTCTGCATCTATAACTTATTTCTCCTTAATTTACTCTTCGTCTCGCTTCCTCTTACTCTTTCAATTTCACATGCATAGAAGCGTGCACGCATGTATCACACGTACATGACTCATCGGTCGTTTATTGGAAAAATGGAAACGTCATTTTAACCTATCAGCCGCGCAACGGCAACTTGCAAGCCGCTTAGTCGCAGCCAGGTTCTCTCACTCACTCACTCTCTCTCTCTCTCTCTCACTCTCTCACTCTCTCACTCTCTCACTCTCTCACTCTCTCGATCCTTCCCGCGCTTCCCCTCAGCGTCCTCTAGCTACAACTGTTTAGTGAGAATATACAGCATTAGTAGAAGCATACGTACATACGAACGTACGTACGGTTAGCCGCCGCTACACGAGCCACCGAACGAAAGAGAGATAGAGATAGAGATAGAGATAAAGTGAGCGAGTGAGCGAGAGAGGGGGAGAGAGAGAGCGAGAGAGAGCGAGAAAGTGAGGGAGAGGTAGAGTAAGAAGCGGTCTTCGAGAGAGGGGTGGAGTGTGGCGCTTTCTGTACAATTTTTCCTCGACAGTTCATTGCTGTCTCTGGATTTTCGTCTTTGCGCGCGTGTGCTGCGTGTATGCGTACGAGGCTGTGTATACGCGCTCACGTATACAGACGAGAGTTTTTCGCCCGAGGAGCGAGGAAGCCTGAAGGGTCGCATTTTTCCACACGGATATTCGAGTATCGTCGTCGCCCGTCTCGCACCTCCCATGCATCTGAGAGGACGTTGCAAGACATTGAGAAAGAAGAGGATCGGGGAACACGCCGATGCATGTGAGTTCTCTACGTGCGTACCAGTGGGTCTCCCTTTGTTGCACGCGCCCGTGTCCACCTCCTTTCTCCACTACCTCTTTCGTTTTTTTCTTCCTCGTACTCCACCGAAGAAGACCGCTTGACCGAGTGGCTTGTCGTTGTCGGGCGAGGGGGCCGAGGGGGGCGAGGTGGCGGGGCGGGGGGGGGGGGGGG